AGGGCATTCTAGGATTTAGATAATATTAGGAACCAAGAAAACATTATAACACTACACTCCTTGATAGGGAAGAAAAGCAGATTAAGCCATTCATTGATGAGTACTCATAGCTCGTCAAACAATGGCGGACAGAATGTATAGTAGTTTTTCAACAGGTTAGATACATATATGGTCCGAAAACATATGGTCTGCCCAAAATACATAAAGATGGAATCCTACTTCGAATTATTGTGAATATAAAGAGAAGCGTGATGCATAAAACATCAAGATTTATTTATAATAAGTTAAAGCAAAGCTCCGAAAAGTAGGTTTAAACTGGGCTGCGTCAACCAGAACGTAGTACAAAAGCCAAACGGCTACAGTACAACGGGATTCATTCGTCCACTTCAGGTAAGATCGACCTACGAATCTCTTGTTCATGCAGTTTCATACGAAATGAAAGTCCCCCCCCCAGCAAAAATGGATCGAAACCATTGGTATTCATACGTTCTCCTGAGATAAGAAGAGAAATGAGATGTATTCACCCTATTTCGTCTAAAGTGATGAAGGACTGGTAGTAGAATTTACTCAACAATGATATGAGTTGAGCTGACGTTTCCATTGAATTTCACATAGCCTTGCTTTCCCAAAAGTTGTTTTCAACCTTGCTTTAATCAGTAATACGAGATGTATTCACCCAATTTCGTTTTAGGTGATGGAGGACTGGTAGAAGAAGAAATTTGCCACGATGATATGAGTTGAGCTGACGTTTCCATTAAATTTCACATAGCCTTGCTTTCCCAAAAGTTGTTCTCATCTAGAGTGAACTGCAGTTTCGACCTCGTTTCGGTCTTATCAACACCCTCAGCGGGATTCGAATCGCGACAGTGCAGAATGGAAGCTTGATACGCTAACCACTCGGCTACACTGCCACGATTAGGTCGAGACTTTATTTCGCGTCGTCCAATCAAAGCTCGGGACCGCATTGTCCAATCAGAAGTTGACATGGAAATCTACGCAGGTAGCTAACATCTTGTCTAGATTAATCAGGTTATTTTCCTTCTCTTTCTACCATTAGCTGTGGCCCTCGAGGTTTAGAATGTTCTATTTTGCGACATCTTTAAAGAATTGTCCTTCTATTGTCAGCCCCTCATACTGTATTCAGCCATTTCCAAATAGGTAATACTATTTTTCTTTTTCTCTCTTCGTTCCGGGCCTCCATCTTTAGTGTCGTAGAGGGAAAGCGTTTTATATTTTAGAAACAATCCAGCATCCTGTTTTGGGGCACAACAATTTCTTTACACATTGTCTTGACCTTCCATTTCCTCAGTAACTCGCGTGTTCTTCTTGAAAACTTTCAGGATGGTAAAATTAGGAATCTGGGCGAACAGTTGTCTAATTCCTTGTTTTGTCTCGAATAATGGTTTTCATTAACCATATTTCTTAGTATTTTGAAGGTGTTAAGAATTAATCCTAACGGATAATTGTTCTCAAATAAAATTTTTCTTAGACGTTATAAGCCCTGTTTGTGATGATTTACGTCCCTTAGACGTAAGCTCCTTATTAACATTTATTTCATTACTCCTACTTTAACATGGTAGTTATGATTCGAGAAAAAACTAAGAAGGAAACTCATATTTGTGGGTTTCATATATACCTAAAATTGCCAACTAACTCGTGAGTGTTGCATACCCACAACACACACATCCACGAAGCTAAAACAAGCCTCAGGATTGAAGAATCATAAGTTAGTTTATTTACATAATCAAAAGCTAAGATCACATCTGCTCTCCTTTTTGCATCACTTTCACTCACTTACATTTATGTATGACAAACATAAAGCACTCAACCAATTCACGAAATGGCTCATTAAAATCGCAAAGTGAGGTATGAGAAGTAATAAGGATATCTGCCGGCCACCTTTCTTGGTTTAGTGTTTTGGTAATTGCTCATTAATAATGGTTTCTGGCTCTGACGATGTCCGTTACATCACAGACGAAAGCTCAACACGGAGTCATCAGGATCGGAGGACGGTGAGACGCGAGCTTCGTACAATCCAAAAGACAAAAGTCCAAGCAAACCCTCCTTCGGAAAGAGGTGATACAAATCTCGAATCCCCTCCACCCGCCTTCTCAAAAGAAATGAAAGGAATGCCAGGCTGTATCTTTACAGCCCTCTGAGAAATACAAATTCTCTATCCTAAATTATTAATATACATAAGAAAACATATTTTTATTAATATGGGCAGGACGTGATAAAATCATATTAGACTAAAAAAAGCAGCGTTAAATTCTGACTAGGGCCTCTATTAGTAACTGTCTTGCAAAAACGACTAGTAACATAGTTAATATGGTAAATAAATAAAGAATTAGTGAAAATTTGGCTATGCATGCTGTTTTATAATACATTTGCATGCCATATAAATTTCAAAACCTTAAATGATTTCAAGTGGCATGAAACTCAAATTTTTTTGTGACATCGACTATTTATCGAATCCATTTTTATTAAACATAGAAGAAAGCCTTAAGTGAAGATAAAATAAGTAAAACTTATAAGATTAGATAGCCCAAATAGTATAGAAGCAATAAAATACATGATATAAAAATTAAGCATTAAAATAGGCACGTTTTTCATTAGCAACCGTGTCACATTAAACTATGGGAATTTTTAGAAAATATTCTAAATAGAATAACAAGTATGCAAAATTATAAAGATCTCTTACAAACTTAAGAATGTCTGAACAATATATACATACATATATATATTGGGGTAGCATCTTTAGGCCCCCTCACAAAGATTCAATGGCCACATAGATAAAAGAAAATGAGAAACTTGGAAATGAATAGACTGATAAGCAAATTGTCTGCTTAATAGGTATGATCACAAAAGGTCGAAGGGCATCTTAACTTACTAAGCCGTAAAAAAATTAGAAAAATCAAATTATCAACAGTTAGCAAAAGCTTGAATGTACTCTCAATGTTTTGAAATGGCTGGACTGCGGTATCATCATAAAAAGGCAGTCCATACTGGGAGACGCATCTACCCCAACAGTGATAGTCTGTCTCACCTTAATAGATTTATAGTAGTCTGGCTTGCGCTTCTTGCCAACAATCCCAGCCAGCCACAGTCGCCTGGCCTCCCAACCCCGAGCAGCCTGCCTAAGTGCGGTCTCGTAAACTGCCTTCTGTCGAGCAATTATGCTGGCAGATTGCCTGACATTCATAACCTGCTGCTGTTGATATTCAGCCGATCGGACCGGGGAACTTGAGGACAAAGATTTGTTCAAGGATGACTAAATATAAAAGGTATAGAAATAAGTAATATAGGAGAAAAAATGCGCAAAATGAAGACGGCGATCCATTAATTAACTGGTACATTTAAAAATAGCATC